CCCCCCCCGCCGACCAGTTCCGGAGACCCAGCCCAGCACTGGGTCCATTTCAACCACAGGCACTGGAAAAGGGAGTCTAAGAAAAACTGCAGAGAACAGACTGCTGAACAAAACGATGAGAAGATCACACACCACAGCTCTGACACAGGAGGGCCAAACAAGACCGGGTGCCAGGCCGGCCTGCAGACAGGAAGAGTGGGGCGAGCGGGCTCCCCAGCGGTCAGACCTAAGTGCACATCGCAGGTCAGTGCGTCCTGCGCCAGGTGTGGGAGGGAATGGCTTTGGGGAAGACACAGGCAGCATAGGACAAGGAACAACCCTCACAGGCAGTGTTTCGACAATGTCCAAAAGGATGGAGACAGGACATGCCCAGACACCCCTGCTCTCCCCGCCCCCCGTGCTCTCAGGAGCCTCCTCCTCAATGTGTGCTCCTCAGCAGTGAGCTCTCATTCACATGAGAAAAGGCGGCAGCATCTTCCCAGCAGAACAAGATGAAATGGGAACCAGAACAAGAACCACCCAGGCCTGGGAGCCGTGGAGCAGAGAGCGGCCCTGCAGGAGCCACAGCAGCGAGTTTGCTCAGCGTGCCACCGCCCCTGGCCGCCCGGCCGCCACTCCTGCTTACGTTACAGCAACAGCTCCTGCCTTATCCCACCACGGCCCGCTCTCCAGACGCAGACTAACCCACCTCCACTCCCTCCAGCCAGGATCCCTTCCACACCGTCCCACAGCCACACCTGACCGCACAGTGGTCTTTCTGCCCTCCCACCCAGGGCTGTGCCTGCACTGTGGGTCCCCAAGTCTCAGAGGACCCTGCTTCCCCTCAAGGAGAGGCCTGCTCAGTGGCGCCGTCAGGACGGCGTCTGGAGCATCTAATCCAGTGCTGTCCCTGCTGCCCCACCGGCTCCGTTATATGTGGGTTTCTCGGTTGTGAATATTCTATTTCTTAGTGTTTATTTATTTTTCATTAAAGTGCAAAAAATTGGTCAGATTTTCTCACTTATGTATTCCCAATAGCTACAAAGTGCCTGGCACATGAAAACAAAAAATACTTGTTGAACCAATAAATTAAAGACAAATCAAAAAAGAACTAACCATACCTCTTTCAAAACTATGCAGATAACAAAACATTAGTAGAAATATAATTAATATTTAAAATGTAATTAGGAATAATAATTTTGAAATACTAATATAATTCATATATGAAGGATTTAATAACACAATCAATACCCCTGACCTAAATTATAGAGGTAGAGAGGCAGTTTGAGTTTCTACTATACATATATTCCATCCAAACACACTAAGGATTTTTGGAAAATCTGACATTTGTAAAGGCCAAAACAAAGTCCCCAATTCTACCATCAGGAGGCGACATTCTGACCATGATTCAATAAGAATAGAATGAAAAGAACAAAAGGCACCGCCGTGTTTCCTGGAAGCCTGGCATTGGACTTCTGGTCATGCCCTGGTGGCCAGCGCTGCGCTAGTCCTGCGAGAAGCTCCATGGAGAGGTGGGGAAGGAGTGGGAGACCTTCCTGTGCATCACTGCGACTTCCTGTGAATCGATAATTATTGCAAAACAAAACAAAATGCTAAAAACAGAAGTCCAATAAACTTGTGAAACCAGTTAGTCATGCCTAAAACTTACCATACTGAACTATGGTCTGTTTTATTAATAAAACAATCTATATATATAAAAGCCTAATATGCAAAGTGTCCTCTCAGGAGTTCAACCGACCGGGAGTTCGATTACTCACTATGACATGTGCTGACCACCAGGGGGCAGTATGGAACAAAGGAAGGCCCCAGCCAGCAGCCGGCAGCCAGCAGCCGCGAGGGACCCTACCCATGCACGAATTTCATGCAGTGGGCCTCTAGTCTATATATATAAAAGCCTAAGGACCGGCTAACTGTCTGGTAGCTATAATGCACACTGACCACCAGGGGGCAGATGCTCAATGCAGGAGCTACCGAGTGACAGCAACTTTGCAGAGTGCCCTCTCGCACTCCAGGACCCCTCAGGGGATGTCGGACTGCCGGTTTCAGCCTGATCCCCGCAGGCCAGGCCGAGGGATTCCACCAGGTCTCTAGTAATTCTATATTAGAAAAAGTGATCTGCCACTACAGGCTAGGGACAGAGGGAAGAAGCAGAAAACAGTATTTCTCTTAAAGTCTCCCACTATCCAAGGACTATGGGAGAGGTTTTAGACTGCGTTTGAAGGAATCCTGTAAGCAGTGACTTGAGTGTACCCTCTTTCAGAAACGGAGGCACTGAATTTTGGGAAATTAATTTGTCCACGGTCACACACACTGGTCACTGTGTTAAGCGGCAGAGCTGGGATCTGACCCTCGTCCTCTGAGAAGCCAGGTCTAATCTTCACCACATCATGACTCCTACCATTTAGCTTAAAACAACGACCAATGTTCACAGCAGCTAAACGTATCGAACGATCGCTCACTCAAGGCGCAGAGCCAAGGCGGGAGCCAGCATGCACCTTCTGTCTGGGAAACCCTTTGTCTCGAGCTCCTTCTTAGCACAGGCCAGTCCCTTGGCGTCCACACCTCACACCTCTGTGGACTCCGGACGGTGACATGACCCACGCACACCACACTCACACCAAGCACACCTGGGGCCCACACTGCCACAAAACACAGGGTACTCATCCTAAGCACGGCAAACTCAGAACACACTCCAACCAGTGCTAGCCATTCTGCCAGCAAATGAGTTTGTGAAAACACACACCTTTTGGCTTTAAAGGTTTAAGGACTGTGGTTGTTGCAGGTAAGGGATTAAAACCTGTCATGTGATGGACACAGAACATGCACGCTCCTGCCCCCACTCCAGTAGTGAAAGTGATTTTCCAAGACCTTCATTCAAGAGGAATACAAGTTTTGCACTAATACCTTAAAAGAGATGACCATTCCCTGAAAAAAATACCTGAATCCATCCTCCCACAAAGGGATAACAGACAGTAGGAAAGACATGGGCAGCGGCGGCTGCCACAGAGCAGGTTCCGGAAGCTTTGCAGACTGGCCAATGGAACGACGCAGTGCACTGTTCCGTCAGATGTCACCAACAATAATCAGAGGTGAGAGCGTCACTGCGCTGGTTGGAGGAAAGTTGTTTGAGGCCATCCAGGCCTAGAAGACAAACCGCACAACTCTGCGGTGAGGGACCTGAGGACAGGTGGAGGCAGAGCTGGGGGCTACCTTGCACCCCGCCCTAGCCGTGTGCTCTCCCAGCACTGGTATCCCCCGCAGCTACGGTGCCGGTTCTGTGGGGAAACAGGGCACACGTCCAGAACAGCACCTCGGATGGCCTTGGGCTCCTCTCTTTACTAAATGTCCCGGGAATGGGTCACTGAAGTTGGAGCCTTCATTCCAGTTCTCACATGTGTGTCTGAGTTTCACCTTGGGATTTCCCACAAGGACAATCAAGGGGAATTATTCCCAATGGGAAGATCTCTAAAGTAGCCGACAAGCTGTGGGTGTAAAGAAGAGGCTCCCCCTTTGGCACCCACACCTGAATGCACCCACACAACACGTGCCAGTGCCGAGGCCAGTGGTCCCTGCAGCGCTGGGTGCAGGCCAAGTGCAGCAGCAGGAAGCACGGTGCTGGTGAGGGCCAGGCAGGCCTTCCCAGTGAGCACTCACATCCTCTTCCCTTCAGGACGCAGGCGTGGCCCTGCCATCCAATTACTCCCGGAAACAAGGGGTGACCGACACAGGCATTATTGTCATTTTTTACAGCCCCTTTGGAGAGTTTGCAAGGGAGTTACATTGTTTAAGATATAATTTTTAATGGGTGGGTAGCTAGGTGTTTTTCAGCATGGTTTTTAGTATGGATACCTAACTCAAAAACCCCTCTAGCCACAAAGCCCTGGATTCATGCTTTACTGTGAAGGACTCTGGTACTCAGATAAACCATTTTTCCATGTGCTGATAATTTTCAAAAACAAAATTTTGGTCCTTCCTATAGCTATGTCCTCAGGCAATTTTAAAAACAGTAATATTTGCCCTGGCTGGTGTGTGTCGGCCTGCACAGCAGGGTTGCAGGTTTGATTCCGGGTCAAGGGCTTGTAGTTGAGTTGTAGGTCCGATCTCCACGTTTCTCTCTCTCTCTCTCTCTCTCTCTCTCTCTCCCTCCCTCCCTCCCTCCCTCCCTCCCTCCCTCCCTCCCTCCCTCCTTCCCTCCCTCCCTCTCTCCTTCCCACTCTGGAAAAAATATCCTCGGGTTAGAATTAACAAAATAAAACAAAACAGAACCTGCAATATTTGAATCAGGGTAGATGACACAGGGCGGAGTCTAGGAGGCTTCCTGCTGCACTTACTCTTGGAATTAGCGAGGGTGCCGCTCACCCTGGTGTCTTCACTCAGGTCCACAGCTGGAATCACAGGAACAGCTGTTTAACTGAGCTGTTCTTCACTTACAGACAATTCTGGATAATCTAAGATGATGTTTCCTTTCCTCCTCTGCTAGCAGAAACCCGAGACAAATGTTTTTACTACCTAGTTTGCCAGAATCAGAAAATGAATGCGTCTGCTCGTTGCCTTTATCCTGGGTCTATATATTTTCTCTTCATTTTCTAGCCACCTGAAATTAATGACTAAAAAGTTCTACCTATTTTGGTACCTAGGATCTTTAAGTCATTCATTCATACAGATATTTTAAATGCTCACCTGAGGATGTTTTTATTGATTTTAGAGAGAGAGGAAGGGGAGGGGGGAGAGGGAGAGAAACATCGGTCCGTTGCCTCCTGTACTGGGCCCGACCCGATTGAACCTGAAATCTTTTGGTGCCCGGGAGGGCGCTCCAACAGACTGAGCCACCGACAGGACAAGTTTATATATTTTTAAGGGAGAAGCATTCATAGGCCAATTAAGTTTTTAAAAATTCATGTTTACAAAAACTTTCAGGATAACACATGGTGAGTACCCCCGAACCTTGAGTGTAAATGCAGACTGTCTCATCTATAAAGCTACCTGTTTTCATTTAACCACTGAGTGGCTTCTCTACGTGCTTCTACTTCTGAATAACTTGCTATAAACAGAAATCACAGGGGAGAACACAGGCTCTGGGACCAACAGACCCGACTCCAGCCCAGCACACAATAGTCATCTAAGCAAGTCCTAAAATGTTCGCGTTTTAAGAGATTTGTCTGAAAGAGTTAATGTATAAAGATAATAATAAAAAAAAGAATTCATGGAATTTACAGCTGATTCCACTGAAAAACAGGATCAGAGAAATCTTCCTTCTATAACATAACACTTACTCTTGAAAAATATAAAACTCTCTGACAGCACATTTACCTACTAGTTTACATGCCAAGAAATAAATATTTGTAGACTATAGTTACAGGAACCATTCATTACTGACAGGTCCATAAAGTCACGTAGGTTCTTTTGAAATATATTTCGTATTAGGAATTACATCGTATTTTTATAAAGTCTAAAAATCTAGCTATCACATAGTACCTGCTTAGTGAAATGTGCTGTGATTGCTAAATTAATATACTTTTGGCGTATTTCCCTAAGTAATCTAGAAAATTCAAAATTATTATCAAAAAGCTCAGGCCTTGTAATCTGAATTGCTACCGTGGAGCTGAGGACAGGAAAGACTGCAACCAGAGGAGAGCGGGCACAGGCAGTGTCCCAGAGTCTCCACGCACACGGCCCGATCACAAGCTTACCAGTGTCACCGGCGGGATCAGCTGTGCGCGGTCTGGGAGCTGGTGTGTTTCGTGGTCTGGCAGCAGCCGGAGATGGAGCCGGAGCCGGAGAGGAAGGTGCGCTGCCTCCGTTCGCCACACGGGAATAGCAGTTCTGCACCACAGCGTGGGTGGGCGCTCGGCTGTCTGCTCCACCTGCACCTTCAGCAGCCAACCTTTAGAAGCAAGATGCCTGACTTCAATGAGCTCAGTACAATTCAACAACTTCTCCTCAAAATGTTCATAAGAAACAGCTACCGAGTTCTTCACATTCAAAGAAAATGACAGAGAGAGCAATGAACAAATACAGGGCATGCTTTCTTACGTAAAGATTTAAATTACTTTTGGTTCTAAGCATATCCCATACTACCAGACAAATCTATACTGAAAAATACAACTATACTAAACCAAAATAAGTTCTGTCCCTCAAAATAATGTTCAAATTGTACATTTTAAATACTCAAGTCTAAGAATACAAATCTTTATTTTAAACTAGTGGCCCAGTGCACAAATTCGTGCACATTGAAAGGAAATTAATTAGAAGAAATATATATTTTTTTTAAAATATATGTTATTGATTTTTTACAGAGAGGAAGGGAGAGAGATAGAGAGTTAGAAACATCGATGAGAGAGAAACATCGATCAGCTGCCTCCTGCACATCTCCTACTGGGGATATGCCCGCAACGAAGGTACATGCCCTTGACCGGAATCGAACCTGGGACCTTTCAGTCTGCAGGCCGACGCTCTAGCCACTGAGCCAAACCGGTTTCGGCTAGAAGAAATATTTTAATATCACTATTTGCCCTTTCTCTATAATAGAAGTGTCAACCAAATTCATGATCGACAATGACAGATGGAAACACATGCGTGCTATTGGCACCAGTGAGAGCTTTACATATATAGATAAACTCGCTTAATCAGACCTGCTTTCTGATGTAGCTAAACTTTTTGCAGCCCAGTGAAGCACCCCAACTTCTCTTTCAGGTAATTGTCAGCAACACAGCAGTAAATATCAACACGAAGCAGATTATTATTATAGATCACACAGGGAGAACAAAGGGTGAAATATTTAACAGCAGCAGTGTTTGATTATATTCTGTGCAGTAAGAAAACCTGAAGTCATTTTCAAGGTCCACTATTTCTTACTTCTTTTCAGTTGGGTCAAGTTTCTAAGCTTTCTAAATCTCTGTTTTCCAGCTAATGAAAAGAAAATAGGATTCTACCGAGTCTCCTATCTACCTACTCCAGGACTTCTGTGAGGATCACATGAGATGAGGCAAGGGAAAACGCTTCACAGACATTTGGTTACAGTGTGAAAATGTTTCCACCTGGCTATAAAGCAAGTCATGTTCCTGGGCTGAAGAAACTGCAAGGAGGCTAGTTGCTAGGGAGAGGAAACTGGGTGTTGCTACGTGACATCATTACCCAGATGGACATATTAGCCATATATATATATATATATATATATATATATATATATATATAGAGAGAGAGAGAGAGAGAGAGAGAGAGAGAGAGGATAGATGCTTTGAAATATCTTGTGGAAAAAAGTCAATTTCAAACTATTGTAATTCTATTGATCAGAAGAAGCTCATAATTGTAGTGCCTAGTAATAATAATTTACAATCAACATTTGAAAACTGCAAATAAACAGAAACTGGAAACAAACAGAAACCACACCCACGAAAGCAGATATTGTGACCTTCCCTGGCAGTGGCCAGTGGCCGGCCTGGGTGACACTGTGAGCCCTGGAGGGAGAGCAGTCCCACCACACCTCCCCTCTGTCCGCTCCCACAGAGCAGCCTGGCTGCTATCCCAGGGCAGGAGGACAGGGACACTGAGGCAGGAAAGTTAAAACACAGCCAGACAGGGCAGGCAATGGGCAGCCAGCCTGTAACTAACAAGCCATTATCTCCCCCAGCCAAGGACACAGCAAGTGGTTAAAAACCTCCCTGAGGGGAGGATGCAAAGGGAGGGGAGGGGAAAGGAAAAGGGGCCATTTTACCCCTAGGCAGAGAAGCCTGCAGTCTCAGGCTTGGCAAGATAAGGCTGCCAGGGGCTTCTCATGAATTCTGGGAAGGCCACACAAAGTAAAAGTAAAAGGGACCTTGAGAATTCATCTGCACCCAAAGAGTCAGCAGGAGTTTTATAGACAGGAGGGTGTATAACGCCTCGAACCCGCACCCCACCTGCTCTTCAGATGAGCTGAGAGCCTGTCTGTGCTTCCTAAGCCAGATGCATAGGTTTGCTGGCTTTGCTTTTTCAATAAAGGCACATGCTCTAACTGCTTTAACAATAGGCTTTCACAGTGCAGTCAAGGTCTCTGTATAAATCCATTTACATGAGAAGACAAGGACGAGGTTGGGGCAGCTCTCCCGCTGGCTCAGGGGGCGCTCCTGTCTGGTATCACCTCTCTGGTGTCCCTGAGAGGTGCCTCTAACAGCTTCGGCTAGGTTTTCTTTTTAAATATAAGTCAGATCCCACCCCTCCCCTTAAAAGCCATTGTACCAGGAGTGAGATCTAGACTTCTCACCATAACCACACAAATACATTTTAATGAACATAACTGTGGTGCCCTTTCAGTCCTTAATTTTGTCCAAGTAAATTATAACATGGACACTAAATACATTTACTTAAGCCAACTCTCTCTGCTCAGGGCCCTGCAGGAGCAGGGAGAGCTGGGATTGCGACTAGTGAGGTGACCCTGTGCTGGAACGTGCCTCTCACCCAGCAGGCCCATTCACAGCAATCAGGCTACCTTCAGGTGTTCTGGTTGTTCCATTATATTTCACCTACTACATGCTTTTATTCCTATTTGATGACTGCACACAGAAAGCCTCTCTTAATTACCATCTAACGTAAATGCGAGCGAGGATGAGAAATGGCAGGCTGGTTTCTGGGGAAAGACCATGTGTTTTCTTCCAGGGTCCACAGGGAGCTGCGGCTCCCACAGCAGGAAGGTCCCCAGTCCCCGCCCAGCCAGCCTGCTTCCTGATGACTTGGTCTACAGGCAGTGGTAAAAGCCCACTCGCAGTAAGAAAGAATGAAGCTCCGACACGCTACAACATGGGCGAGCCAGACAACGAGGGTCCCATGTTGTACGGCTGCATTGATATAAAATGTCCACACAGGACAACCCCGGGGACGAGAAGCAGACCAGAGGCTGCCGGGCCAGGTGGAGACGCGTGCTCCCTGCGGGTGATGTGCGCTGTGAAATCAGACGGACGGACGGACGGACGAACGGACGGACGGCCCCAGCTCTGTGGCCCACCGCTGGTGTCCCCCTGAGGGCTACTGGGGGATGTGCATTATACCTCAATACAGCGGGTTTTCAAACTGCTTTCTCAGGAAGTCAATCAACATGACGTTCTAAGTTCTAGGCAAACGCTAAGCTGAGGCTACAGGAAGCCTTCAGGCAGGGGAACGGCCCAGTACTTTACCGCGAGTGTGAAGACGCTTTCTACCTGCTCGTCCTGGCCGAAGGCTCTCCGTTCTCACGTAAGGCATCACCATTCTGCTGTATTTCTACTGAACAACGAGAAAGAGAGAAATTGGATTTTATACCTCCTGCTGATGTTTCCCTGAATTTTGCAGACACTCAGGAGCTTACTGGTTGGGGCCGAGCTGCAGCTCGTCAGATTTTCTGGCTCAATCGCCAATCCGTCCAGCACCACCGTTAACTCGCCAGTTTGCACTACGCCGTTCTTGTTCTCCAAGGAAAGTTTTAATTGTTCTTTCACTCTTTCCACTAGAAAAAGAAAATCCTAATTTGAAAGCTTTTGCTGTATACAAAAATGTTTCAGAAACCAGAACTGCACGTGCAGCATGATTGACGGCCCCTGGCTGCGCGGGGAGGGTCCTTTGCATCCGGCCCTCCACCCAGGCCGCTCCCTCCCGCCTGCTCGCCCCACCACAGGCTTCCACAGCACATCAGCGCCCTTTGCTCGGCATGAACCTCAGCGACATGTGGATGACAGGCCAGCCTCACCCAGACAGGCTCCTGGCCCAGGCCCCTCAGACCTGTGCCCGCAGCACATCCCTGCCAAGTCGAACAGTGTGGCCTGATTCAGCTGTGCACCCAGCTGGGTGGTGAGTGAGCAATCAGGCTGCTTCGAGCCTCCGTCTCCTCCAGGCAAAATGGAAATAGTAAGAGCATCACACCAAAGGGACTGTCACAGGTCCAAATGCAAGGGCACACAACACACGTGGCCCACGCCTGGCACAGACGCGCTCAGTGAGTGGTCCCTCTGTGACAACACTTTTCCTCTAAACAAGGCCGACTGTGTCCTTCCTGCATGAGGGTATCTAGTTCTTCCTGAACCCAAGGTCATTTCGCTGCACCTTCTTCTATCCCACAGAATATGTAAACCTCCTGATCAAAGAAAATCTTGCAGAAAACCCACCCCAAACATCTGTACCAACATAGATCTCATTTCCACTCCACATCACAAACAACAACAAACATGACTCGAGAAACTTGAAAAAATACAAAAGCTAAAACACACACACAAGAACCCTACAAAGCAGGCATCCGGCTTTACCTAGGCTAACGGTGCAGACCTGAAGAACCCAGACTGGCTCCATTCTACTTCACTCACCCTCTCTCCACTCAAAGTACCTGCAATTTGGTGATTTAGCTTCTTGTGCTAACACACTTAGCCGTTTGCACCGCCTCTCGAGGCATAGCCTCGGAGTCCCTGCAGGCAGCGCTCAGTGCAGGCCTCTGTGCGGGTCTGCGCGTGTGTTTGCCGGCCCATCCCCAGACTCGCTGGCCTAGAGTTCACACTGCCACCGCAGTGTTCCCCACCGTCTGCTCCTGGCACAGCCAATTCCGAATTCTAGCTGATACGCCTCTGCAGATGCCTTTTCCTCTGGAGCTGCCTCTGCCTTTGGTGTCATGCTTGTCCCTGCATGTGTCCAGGCACCTCTCTTGACCACACTGCCTGGGACAGTCAGGGCCTGCAGAGTCACGTTTCCACCAGTGCTCACTCCCTGGCCGCCATCTCTTCAGTTGTCTCCTCGGCTCCACCCTCCACTCCATGGCTCACCACTGCCTGTGAGTGGCCAGCCACACTCACTCCTCTCCACCCGCCCGGGCAGAGCCGCATGGGAGCAGCAGACTCTTGGCTTCCCAGGAAGGCTGCCACCCTGCTGGCCGGGCTGGTGCCTGTACCACCATCCCTGGTGGCGAGTGCATGCTGACCATCACCTAGGCGTGCTCGTCTGGCTGTGTGAGGGCAGCCCGGACCCAGCTCAGTGCCCTGAAGCTGCTACCAGCATCGTCCACAGTTCTCCCTCGGTGTGTAAGCTTTGCTTTGTCCTTTGCTTTTTAACATGTGTATTTTATTGTTGACAGTATTACAGATGTCCTCCCCCAATTTTCTCCCCTTTACCCTCCCCCGCCAAGCCTTCACCGCACTACTGTCTGTGTCCATGGTCTATGCATATAAGCAGGTAAGTCCCTTGGTTAATCTCTTCTCACCCCCCCCCCCCCGCCCCCCGAGATCTGTCCATCTGTCCCATGCCTGGGGTCTTATTTTGTTGGTTGATTCATTTTGTTCATTAGTTCCCACATACAAGTGAGACCATGTGATACTTGTCCCTATCTGACTGGCTTATTTCACTTAGCATGATGCTCTCCAGGTCCTTCCGTGCTGTCTCATAGGGTAAGAGATCCTTCTTTTTCACAGCTGCTTAGCATTCCATTGTCTTTGGCCTCCTTTTTAAAGAAAGGGGGCCTTGGAGATCACCTGGCCTCTGCAAATATCACCACTGCTACAAACACCTGTCGGTCCAGGACCTACTGCTCTGCCAGGTTGGGGTGGTGTGGTGTGTGTGTGTGTGTAAGTGTGTAAGCATGCTTACATCATCTGCTCTCTCACAACTCTGAACATGGAACACTGGGCTCTACCATTTTTGAATCATACAATTGGGGCAATCACATGACAATTCTCATCTACACTGTATGTGTGGGGGGATTCTATTACAGTGCAATCCGCCAGCTCAGATCTCTCCATCCATGGACAGCAAGCTCCTGCTGTGTGCAGGGGCTGTGGGAGCAGATGCGCCCTGGCCGCCTGGCGTGGTCTCCGCCTTTCACTCCCACTCATCCCTCCCTCCCTGCACTGAACACCAGCCCTAGGGGCCATGGGCATGGGCTCTGCCTGGGGGTGCAGGCCCTACCCTCTCAACTACATAGCAGCCCCCAGGACAGCACAGAGACCCTGTCTTCGCCGTCAATGGCGCATCGCAGACTCTGACACAGATAGGTGCTTGAAGAAGACAGTGCTGTCCTCAGGGAACTGGGAGCTACTCTCTGACCTCCCAGAAACCCCTCCTCAGTGTTCACAGGACGGAACAGTCGAGGTCTCTGAGAGCCGGGCACAGACCAGGGCAGTATCCCGGAATCCTGGAGTTGTTGAAAACGCACACTCTGTCCCCACAGAAGACAAAAGGTCTTCAAAAATCGTTTTTAAGGCATTTCACCCTTCAAATTTAGCTCAGAGTCACATCTGAACCTATTTTTAAAAATGCTTGCACACTGTATTACTTATTGCTAAGTATTACATTATCCTAAAATACAGTCACTTAAAATAACACCGGCTGCCTCTTATTGCTCAGTTTCTGTGCTCAGGGGCTGGGGAGGGCGGTGGGTGCTGCAGGGACAGCCTCTCCGGCTTCACAGTGCCTGTGAGGAGCCTGAGACCCAGGCAGAAGCTGCACTGTCGTCCAGGCCAGCCCCAGGGGGCTCTGTGCCTCGTGGCGGCCACATTTCACTTATCACCCAGACCACGCGCAGGAGGGACACCGAAGCAGGAGGCTGGCCGACACACGTAAACGTGAGGGCAACGGATGCAGACCCAGAGTGAGCGAGGCGGTAGGCAGGGCCCAAGAACAAAGCGGGCTGTGACTCCAGGCCCTCCCAGCACAGACCCAGCCAGTGCGCCCCAACTCACAGCCCGTCGGGCTCCCTGCCCATCAGGTACCAGATAAATCTCAGAATCTATAAAAGAACTTACAGAAAAAACAAAGTAATAAGTGTGCAAGAGGAAAACAGAACTATCAAATACAGGATTAGAAGGGTTCTCTGAGCATAAACATAATGGAAAATGAATTAACTTTTATGATCAAAATGTTAAACTTCTACAAATTAAAACAGGATAAAAAAAGAGGCAAATGATTAACTGGGAGGTAAAAAGTAAGAGCTCTTCTAAGTTAGTGAATGAAAAGCAGCAAACCAACAGAAAAATGTGCAAAGATAAGATAGTCGTGCACAATGAAAGAGAAATGACCAACAAGGACCTGGATTCATTGATGCTGAGCAGTGCTGAGAAGAAAGCTCTTCCTTGTTGTCGGTCAGGGTGCACACACTCGTGGGGGCCTCCCGCCCGTGCAAGGTGAGGATGGCCTGGCAGGAAGGACAAGCCACAGCCCGAGCCTGACAACCGCCCATTCCCCCTGACCTAATCATTCAATCCTAAGAATCTAACACAGAAATGCACTCATATCATCAGATATAAAACACTGTCTGTTCTATACCTCAGCTTTAAAGTATCTTCGTTTGTGCTGACACTAAGTAAATTTCTAAAAAGAGAACTTAAGACTTAGTAACCGAAACAAATAACTAGTATCAGCTGGTAAATAAGGCTAAAAGCAAAATCTTTTAAAAACATATTTTTATTGATTTCAGAGAGGAAGGTAGAGAGAGAGAGAGGAACATCAATGATGAGAGAGAAAATCATTGACCAGCTGCCTCCTGCACTCCCCCCCTCACTGAGCCACACTGGGCTGAAAGCAAGTTTTTAAGTAACATTAACATGAACTGTGCTCTGTCCTCCAGTCTAAAGGCTTCTCTGCTGTTTCCCTGCCGTTCAATGTAGGAGAGAATGTAAGTGAACTGAATAGATTTCTAAATGGTTTCCTTGACAACCTAAGTTCTCGGTTTGATTCCTCCATCAGACACTCCTCTCTGGAGAGCTGTGGCCCGTCAGACTCAAACTGAAATAGGCAACGCAGTCCTGCACCCACGCCGACGAGGGACTTGGCCACGCTCCTCTCTCACTCTCCACCAGGGACAGTGACAGACTCTCCTGACCTAGCTCTAGCCAGGCTCCCGAGCCACCTGCTCAAACAGCCCTCCCCTTGGCCCACAAAAACTGCACACTCCCAGCACACTTCCATCCGTGCCCTCTGCCCCCGGAGTAAGAGACGTGAACAGACCCCAGCACAGAGCCCGCCAACTCGCCATCAGCACCCCACGACGCCCGAGCCCCCGGTATAGGCCTGAGCCCCCCTTCCTAAAGCTTTACCAGAAAGGGCTTAGCTTCGAGGGTGAGTCCCTCCTCTGCCCGAGATGGGCTTGTCCCTCCTCCGCCTCGGGTGTCCTTCTCCAGGGTCCAGCGCCACCCCTGTGCCGTGCAGTCATCAGGAAGGCCAGGCCCGGTCTCCTGATGTCCACGGAGGACAGAGGTGCCGAATGCTCTCACCAATGTGTCTGACATTTCACTCTCCTGGTTCCACTAGCCCCCCTCCTCCCTCGCTCCCTTGCTCCCTCTGAAGGCTGGCCCTGCCTGTGCAGTGCAGTGCTGATGGCAACCTCCCTCTGGCTCTTGGTCTAGTAAGGGATAATAGATCATTTTCCTTTGCAATTTAAGAACCGGTGGGGCTAGAGAGGCACAAATCATCTCAGATATAGGTGTCTAATCCTGATGACACAGAGAAAAGAAAGCTACTATACCACGTGTATCCGCAGAGCCAGTTAAAGAACGTCCATCATTCAGCCTGGTGTTCACGTGATCTGCACACGCAACTGAAGGTTAATTGGGGCAAAAACGAGGCTTAGACCACAAGCGTTCCGTGTCTGAGAGGGCTGTCTGGGCCACGGCCTTGGACACGCTGCCCAGGCTCCTCCTGAAGCTGGCGAGGCCTGGGCCTGGAGCCCCTGGGGCTGAGGTGAAGCTGCAGGGACCCTCGTGGGACACACAGATCCTGACGCTGGCTTGGCTGTGGGCTTTAGGAAGGCTGTGGGTGGCTGTGTTCACACGACACCATGAAGGCCGAAGAGGTGAACGTCCTCAAAAGCAGGAGATGACCGACTCAGATCAGTCCACCCTCCTCCCCTCCCCGACATACACCAGGAGAAAGGACATGTGGAAATAGACATGTTTGAGAACAAAATGTCAGGGCCTTGAGGACAGGAAGGAACTCGCCTCATAAACCTAAAGTGGGTCGATGACCTTGACAAGGACAAACATCCTGATGTGGAGACTGCTGGGTTGGCATCACAGCGGAGGAGGGGCGGGGTCAGAAACAGTGGACTCCGTTTGTTCTATGTTTCTCCCTGACATTCAATAAATGCTTATTTGGCAACGGAAAGTCCTAGATCTAAGAAAGTAAGAATATAATTAATTTATGGGTTTCTAACTTTCCTCAAGTTATCAGAGCCCACAGGTAGAATATGCCACTTCTGGGAAGATGGAAAGCTTTGCACCAAGCATATCAAGAACATCGAAACAACACAGGCAGTTTTATTTTTAAAAATCACAAGTAACTAGAAATAGGAGGATAAGCTGCTAGTGAATGGAAAAATAAAGAGCAACTAAGGTCTGATTTAAAAGATTGCAGAGGTCAAAAGAATAAATCCTTAAGTTGTATGGAATATTTCTAAGATCTTAAGTAAAGGCAATAAGATGCATTGCTTCACATATGCTATGAGGAAAGCTAGAAACATAATGGTAAACATCAAACGTAAAAAACAACATTGGAGGCAGCAAAGCAGGAGTTACCAACAGAAGGGAGGCCACGCGAGCAGAATCGAGATGACGCCCACAAACAAGGACGCTCATAGGAATACGGCGCAGCGAATGGCAGGGATCCCAATGTGAGAGGAACTTAGAAGCAGCTACATTTGGGAATTTTCCTAAAGCAAAACACAGATTTCAGACGAGCACTTAAGAAAATGAATTAAGAAGCTTCCAGAATCGACCCTTACAAGAAAGCCAATCTGATACTGACTCTGAAAAATTAAAACTCTACAAAAGAAACACGTAAAGTAAACAAACAAAAATAAAGGAAAGCTATTTTTAAAAAACAAACAGGAATGGACTCTGGTTTTGAAACACAACATAATAAAAACAGTGCGGGCTGCAGGCCCACAGGGCAGGCAGGAGCGGCCCATGGGCTGCAGACATTGACATGAATTAAATGAGGTGAAATGCAGAGCTGGCTCCTCAGCTGCACCAGCCTCGCTCAATGCTCACTGCGGCCTGTGCCTAGTGCTGCCCCCTGCGCAGCACAGACACGGCACAGCCACGACCACGGGCCACAACAGCTTCCGGAGAGCCGTGTGAGCGAGCCAGGCAGACTCTGCACTCTAAAGCCAGGAGAGAACAACATACTCCCCCCAGCAGACCAGCGTGGCCATATCCGGCCCTGGGAGCGGAGACGAGAAGCGTGGGCTCTGCTCAGGACAGGGGGCAACAGGAAGTGCAACCTGTTATCACCCGGTCCCTCTGCTCCTCCTCTGCCTTCTCTGAGAGAGTCTTTGTAGTTCATCCTTTTTTAGGTGATTCTACTATAAATATCTGTCCAATGAAAGACAAAGAGCTAACAGAGAGCATCATTACTAATGAAAGAATGAGATAAGGAGAGTCGTTTCAGCTCCATACAACACACATAAAAAATAGTTCAGGATGGGACCATGATCTACAGAAAACGTGTCATCCCTACACCAGAATGACAGTCGGAGTCTCTTCAGTTACAGAGGGTTACTACACTTTATGTTTTCATTTGGGAATTGTTTATTACACCCTGTACCAAAAAGGCTTTAGGGGATGTTTAAATAAATTTATGTTGAAAGATAAGGGTAGTTTAGAAAAAGTTACATTCCAATAGCATTTAGACAAAAATACTGAGTCCACCCCACAGCCTGCTTCATTGTCAAGACTAGGGGGCGCTGCTGAGTAAGTGGAACAGCCACACTCATCCATGAACAGAAATTCAGTGCCATGAAACACCGGGGAGCACAGGGGACATGAACTCAGATGTGTAAGAAACAGGTTCCCCAGCGGTTAAGTCGGGAGCTGCTGGGGACAAGGGCATGAGTGAGCCTGTGTGTGCTCACGTGTCCAGTGCTGCTCCATGCTTCACGTATAGCCAGGCTGCATGTGAGGCTCTACTGAACTCTGACTTTTGGCTATGGACAGTGGAAAGCAGTGAAAACCCAGATGAACAGAGAGGCCTTTCAAGCTGCTTACAAATCCTATTATGTTTGTGATTTACAGTTTTATAAATGTCATCTCCAATCGCTCTCACAATATTCCTCACAAGGACATACCGTGTCCCTGTCCCTAAAATTACTCTAGAACAGTGGTTCTCAACCTTCCTAATGCCACGACCCTTTAATACAGTTCCTCATGTTGTGGTGACCCACAACCATAACATTATTTTCGTTGCTACTTCATAACTGTAATTTTGCTACTGTTATGAATCGTAATGTAAATATCTGATATGCAGGATGTATTTTCATTGTTACAAATTGAACATAATTAAAGCATAGTGATTAATCACAAAAACAATATGTAATTATATATGTGTTTTCTGATGGTCTTAGGCGACCCCTTTCGACCCCCAAAGGGGTCGAGACCCACAGGTTGAGAACTGCTGCTCTAGAACATCTCGGCCCACAGTGCTTCCTCTGGTTCCAGTGACCACCTCCCCATGGCAGCCTGCCTTCCGAGGACCGTATCCCAGCTGCCCCTCGCTCCACCAGTTTCCAGGGTCCTGCCGGAAGCCCCGGGGCTCTGCAGACACGTGGGCCCAGGGCTCCTCCGTGGGTGGCCGGCGTCAGTTTGTCCTCTGCTCCTTCTCTCAGCTCCCTCCTCTCCGACCGCGCCCTGAACACCTGTTCTCTGTGGCAAGTGAGAGCAGTGCCGCACAGCCCTGCACCTGAGCCTCGGGACATGCAGACTCCACTCACACAGGTGCCGATCATCAAACACTTTCTGGATGTAACACACCTCCAAAACATAATACCCTTTTATTAGTAACCTGTTCCCCTAGGCCAGTGAGTGAATTCTCGTTTGACTGTGGTGACAGGAATGTCTTTGTTGGATTATTTGGTTCATAAGCAGTTTTTGTTAGTTTGCTTTTTAAAAATAAGTCTGTCCAGCCAGCATGGCTCAGTGGTTGAGCATTGACCTATGAACCAGGAAGTCATGGTTCAATTCTCTGTCAGGGCACATGCCCAGGTTGTGGGCTCGATACCCAGTATGGGGCGTGTAGGAGGCAGCCAAACAATGATTCTTTCTCATCGTTTCTATCTCTCTCTCCCTTTCCCTTCCTCTCTGAAATCAATAAAAATATGTCTAAAAATGATAATAAAAATTAATCCCACAATACCCCCCAAATTGAACTAGAGCTCACTCAACTGATGCCTATCAAAAACTCAAGCCACGTGCTAAGCCAAGAGGCTGAATGAAAGGCAGCCAAGAATGTAATCAATCATAAGTGTATTTTTAAAATTCGTCAGGTTGTCTAGGGTCCTATTAATTTCCTATGACTGCTAATCAAAATCAAGCACCTTGGACTCAGAGGCTGTGCTGCAGTCACAGCTCCGCAGGCCCCCGTGCCCGAGCAGGTCGGCACCCACACACCGTGACCTGGGGGCAGCATTTCCCGGGTCAGCGACACCACTCCCAGGCATGACGACTTCTCCCTCAGAAACACAAGCTACCTGTTAGCCTTTGGGTTCCAAGATACGTTCAAAGTGTCTAAGAGAGACTTTACGGAAGCAAATGTTAGAACAAAACTTACACTTTCGGTTGTGTGTTAACAGAGCCTGCCTCAGGTCCACAGCCGCTCTTCCTAACAGAGCATCCGTCCGCAGGGTGTGATGGCTCCACACCCGGAACTCCAGCGTGCTCTGTGCGCTCACACTCCTGAGGACGAGCAAAGCAAGGACATGCGTCACTCAAGTGCCCATGGCTATTACATCACTTACCTCAATTACCTTTTAAAGCCAGGATTCAGTTTGAGGAAAAAATACTGTATGAAACAGTAAACTACTTGAATTACAAAAACAATACTTAATTTCAAGTACATCAGCACTTTAAAAGCTAAATAAGAATGTTTGTACTTAGCAAACCAAAATACCACCTATACATCGAGTCTGAGGCTTGCCCTCGCTGGTTTGGCTCAGTGGATAGAGCATCGGCCTGCAGATTGGGGATTCCCAGGTTCGATTCTACTCAAGGGCACATGCCTGGGTTGCGGGCTCGATCCCCAATAGGGGACGTGCAGAAGGCAGCCAATCAATAATTCTCTCTCATCATTGATGTTTCTGTCTCTCTTTCTGTCTCCCTTCCTCTCTGAAATCAATACAAATATATTTTTTTTAAAAAGAGTCTGAGGCTTCACAATAACTATTTCTATTTGAACAAATTTCTCAACATTTAAGACAATTGATGGCACTGGTTCTAATACACAAATTTATAACATTGTACTTCAGAAATGCCAAAATTAAGAATAATTGATTTCTGCTCTATTTCTTTTTGCAAGACAGGAAGAGAAAATATGGCTACATGAAAATACTTTACTTTATGAAGCTAAAGCAAGGATCATTTCGCCTCTTCTGTAAAGGAAAGAAAATTAACCCACAATTTTTTCACTTTGAATTGACTATTCATACTGGAGCACAGCAGTCATTACCATGAAGCTTTCCTACGAGATACTAATTTTTAAGATTCCAAGCGGCACACTTCCCTCTGAAGGCCGCGTCCCCTCTGCGGTACTCACACAGTCAGCTGCTCGTCCCACTTGGGATTGGAAGAACTGTTGGATTTTGCTGTTTTCTTAATTTCTCCATCTACAACTACTTCTGTATAGATTGCTGTTCCAAACCAGTTCTTTTTTCTTTTTAGTTTGGCACTAGAAACTAACAGAAACATGACAATCACTGTGAATATATGTAGCCAGAAAGCAGTATTTATACTAATAAATCAATAAAAATGAAACGGTGCTACTTGTGCAACTAAAACTCTTTTCATTGACAGAATGAAAAAAAACCCACTACAACAAGAATATGATAGCCCTAGCCGGTTTGGCTCAGTGGATAGAGTGCCGGCCTGTGGACTGAAAGGTCCCAGGTTCGATTCCGGTCAAGGGCATGTACCTTGGTTGTGGGCACATCCCCAGTAGGAGGTTTGCGAAAGGCAGCTGATCGATGTTTCTCTCTTATCGATGTTTCTAACTCTCTATCCCTCTCCCTTCCTCTCTGAAAAAAATCAATAAAATACATTTTAAAAAAGAAAAAAAACACACAAACAAAATAAACCAAAACATGAATATGATAATGCCTGAGAACCATTTGAATTTTGACAGTATTATTGAAATATATTGCACATACCCATATAGTTTACTCACTTCAAGTATATAATTCATGGTGGTTGTGCAACCACCACCATAATCAATTTTTAATAATAGTCACCACCCCAAAAAACACCCCTTTCTTCCCAACTCCCCTTTCCCCAGCCCTGAGCAACTATAGTTGCCCCTTCACCAATACAGGTTTAAACCGTGGGGTTCACTTAGTTTGTTTTCAATAAACATATACAGTATTGTATATGTATTTTTTTCTTCCTTATGGTTTTCTTCATTGTCTTTTCTCTAGCTTACTTTATAGTGAGAATACAGTATATATACAAATAACATACAAAATATGTGTTAACCTTCAGGTCTACAGTTGGCTATTAGTAGTTAAGTTTTGGGGGAGTCAACAGTTACACGTAGGCCCAGCTGATGTGGCTCAGTGACTGAGCATCGACCCATGAACAAAGAGGTCACTAGTTCGATTCCCAGTCAGGACACATGCCTGGGTTGTGGGCTCAATCCCCAGTGGGGGGCATGCAGGAGGCAACCGATCAATGTCTCTCCCTCATCCATGTTTCTATGTTGCTCTTCCCCTTTCTCTAAAATCAATAAAGACATATTTTAAAAAAATCATTTGATATGGCCCTGCCAAGGCATTAGGGTGAGTTAATTACAAGTAAATGTTTGACCAGATATAGCAAGCTAATTTTTAAGTTGATGCTTTTGTATGGCCCTCAAATTATGCTATAAATATCCAAATAGCCCTTGGCAGAAAAAAGGTTCCTCAACTCTGACTTAGAGCATTGTCCCAATACTGCAAGGTTGTGGGTTTGAGCCCTAGCAAGGCACATACAAGAATCAACCAAAGGCCCTAGCCAGTTTGGCTCAGTGGATAGAGCGTCGGCCTGAGGACTGAAGGGTCCCGGATTTGATTCTGGTCAAGGACAACATGCCTGGGTGGCGGGCTCGATCCCCAGTAGGTGGTGTGCAGGAGGCACCCAATCAATGATTCTCTCTCATCATTGATGTTTCTATCTCTCTCTCCCTCTCCCTTCCTCTCTGAGATCAATAAAAATATATTAAAAAAAGAATCAACCAATTATACAAAAATAAGTAAAACAATAAACTGATGTCTCTCTCTCTCTCTCTCTCTCTCTCTCTCTCTCTCTCTTAAAAACAAACAAACAACAACCCAGTTATACTTGGATTTTTAGCTACTTAGGAGATTGATGCCCCTAACCCTCAAATTGTTTAAGAGTCAACTGTAGTAACCTACTTTCTTTTTAAAAAATAATTTATTTTCAGTTACAGTTAACACACAATATATTAGTTTCAGGTGTACAACATAGTGATTACACTATGTGATCACCCGATCTGACACCAGACATAGTTATTACAATATTATTGACATATTTCCTATATTTTACATCCCCATGACTTTTTATAACTGGCAATTTGCACATCTTAATTCCTTCCCCCTTTTCATCCAGCCCCCAATGAGCCTGAATTCTGGCAACCATCAAAATATTACCTGTGTCTGAGTTTGTTTGTTCTTTTATTTTGTTTTTTAGATTCCATACATAAGTGAAATTACATGGCTTTTACCTTTCTGTGTCTGACCCATTTCACTCAGCATAATATCCTCTAGATCAGTGGTTCTCAACCTTCCTAATGCCGCGACCCTTTAATACAGGGTTGTGGTGACCCCCAATTTCATTGTTACAAATTAAACATAATTAAAGCATAGTGATTAATCACAAAAACAATATGTAATTATATATGTGTTTTCCGATGGTCTTAGGCAAACCCCTGTGAAAGGGTCGTTTGACCACCAAAGGGGTCGCGACTCACAGGTTGAGAACCGCTCCTCTAGATCCATCCATGTTGTTACAGATACAAAATTTCATTCTTTATAGCTGAGTCACATTCCATTGTATACATGTGGCACCTCTTCCTTATCCATTCATCTATTGATGGGCACTTACGTGGCTGCCATATCTTGGCTATTGTCAATGCTGCAATGAACATAGGGGTGCATAGATCTTTTGAATTCATGTTTTGGGTTTCCTCGGATAAATACCCAGAAGTGGAATTGCTGGGTCCTTCTTGTCTCATAGCCTTCGTTTTCCAGTCTATTTTGTCTGACAGAAGTACTGCTACCTCAAGTTTGTTTTTTTTCTCGTTCCATTTACGTGAAATACCTTTTTCCATCTCTTTACTTTCAGTCTGTGTGTCTGGATCTGGAGTGGGTCTCTTGCAGGCAACATAGATAAGGGTCTTGTTCTCTTATCCCTTCAGCCACGGTATGTTTTTTTGACTGGGGCATTCATTCTATTTACATTTAAGTAATTGTTGATAGGTGTGTAGCTTCACCATTTTATTATTCACATTTTTTATCCTTCTTCTTCTTCCCCTTCTTCCCTTCACCCCTCCTTCTTTTTCAAGACTTTAACACTTCTTATAATACTTGTTTGGTGGTGGTGAACTCCTTTAGCTTTTCTTGTCTGGGAAGCTATGTATCTGTCCTTTGATTCTAAATGACAGCCTTGCTGGGTGAGTAGTCTTGGTTGTAAGCCCTGGCTAGCTATTCATCAGTTTGAATATGTCTTGCCACTCGCTTCTGGCCTGCAAGGTTCTGCTGAGAAATCAGCTGAGTCTTATGGGAGCTCCTTTGTAGGTAACTAACTGCTTTTTTTCTTGCTGCTTTTAAGATTCTTTCTTTGTCTTTAATCTTTGGAATTTTATCATTATGTATCTAGGTCTCTTTGGGTTCATCCTGTTTAGGAGTCTCTGCACTTCCTTTTTCCTTTACCAGGTGGTAGAATTTTTCAGTCATTATTTCTTCAAATAAGTTCTCAAGTCCTTGCTCTCTCTCTCTCTTCTCCTTCTGTTGCAGATGTAGTTATGCCTGATGTTGTCCCAGAGGCTCCTTGAACTATCCTCATTTTCTTAGATTCTTATTTTTCCCCTTGTTGTGATTGGGTGCTTTCTGCTACCTTGATATCAGTACAAATTCAGGATTTGTGCTTTGCTTTCTAAGACAAGAAGCATTTCTTACCTGTTCATTTTAAACTAGAAACAACTGACCTCACAGTAATGAGTGCCATGGGAACCACAGGGCATCTCCTTCTTACCCTGCCTGACTCCCACCCTCCTGAGGCAAATCTTCTAGTGGTCAAGGCATAGAGCTGCATACACACCCCCTCCGGTTTTACATCCATGTGGTAGCTCATTACACACTATTCCATGCCCTGCTCTTTCAATTAACAATATTCTCTTAGAACATGGCTCCTACTGGTACGCATACTCATTTCTTTCATTTCATTGTCTACCTAGAATTCCACTGAGTGTGTACGTGTGTATATATACACACATACACATTTATAATAATTTATATATATATTTACATAACACATACTAAAAATTCTACACATATTTATATATAACACGTATATTACAAACCATATATACATTACTCATAGGAAATTACCTTGCAGAAATTTATATTATTTACATAAACAAATATAAATATACTTAATTACATAAATTATACATTATTTATAATTATGAAAATTATATAATACTTTCTAAATCATAAACTAATGTTTATAATTATGTAAGCAATATCAATTCTCCAAAATAAATTTCTAGAAGTAAAACTGTTGGCTTAAGGACCATTCCTCCTTGAATCATGTATTCCAACTAGCAAGAATGAATTATCTAAAGTCCCCTAACCAAGGCTCTTCCATGCTCTTGCAAATGCTGTTCCCTCTAATGCTCTCTCCTGCCAACCTAATTGGAGATGAACTCCGATTACTCCTGCGCAAATTCAAGTGTTACCCTCTGTGAGTCCTTCTCTTATACATTCTGTATGTCCATAGGCCCCTGCAATCCCAAGCGGACCTACGACACCTTCTTCTAGGTCCTCACTGCATGCAGTTAACCATCACTCTGCATGGTAACTGTCCCACCACAAATCCCTGGAGAACTAGGGCTTATGTTGCCACATGTGTAACTCTACTTAACAAATATTTGCCCAATGACTGAATGGATGGCTAAATGGATGAAAAAGGCCTTCAGCTTCCTTCTCTATCCAAATAATCATTTAAGGGCCAACTCGATGATGCTAGTTGCAGTACCCAAATTCTCCTACCAAAGAGGACCTATCTTCTCCACACCCAGCACAGGTCCCATAAATACTTACTGGACATATAAAACACCTTTAGAGGGTGTCTACCATGGAGGCCTGTTGCAACAAATACACTATAGCATGAATCTAAAGGAAGAGATCCTTATGGAATAAATCTGCTGAATTCAGATGGAAAGAAAGATTTGCCTGGGAACCACTATTTTACACTATTATGGAAGTAACTTACCAGTTACCTGTAACTGCAACCTTCCACTGTGGTTATTACTAGTGTCAGACCTTGGGGAAGCAGTGGCCATGTCCCAAAATTCAGCTTAAACCTATAAAAAATTCAATTTATTCATGTGTTAAACAAGAGATTGTAATTTTCCATATGATTAAAACTAGTCAATCAATTAAGAAAACACACTGATACAATACTGTCAACCCATCACATGCTGATACAGTCAGCTGTCCACCATTTAGAACTGAGACTTAGTACTATAAGCATTACAGGTGAGTACGGCCATGAGCCATGTCTGAATTACTGTGAGAGAGGATCCAGGGTCACGTGTTCATGTGCCCATTTATGACATATTCTACTATTTATGCATGTATGTATTCCTGAACCACCTCAGTAGTTTGCTCGATACCCTTTAATATTTAGTGTGCATTTCCTAAGAATAAAAATATTCTCTCAAATAACGATAGGACAATGATCAAATTCAGGAATGTAACTAGTATGTTATTATTACCTAATATATATTGTATTGCATCAACCGTCCCAACAATGCTGTGTTGTTTTTTTGTTTGTTTGTTTTAATATATTTTATTGATTTTTTACAGAGAGGAAGGGAAAGGGATAGAGAGTTAGAAACATAGATGAGAAACATCGATCAGCTGCCTCCTGCACACCCACCATCGGGAATGTGCCCGAAACCAAGGTACATGCCCTTGACTGGAATCGAACCTGGGACCCTTCAGTCCGCAGGCCAACGCTCTATCCACTGAGCCAAACTGGTTAGGGCAATGCCGTTTATTGAAATTTTCAAACACAGGGTCGAGTTCAAGTCTATATGCTGCATTAATTGTCATGTCTCCAGTCACTCTTGCATCTTTCTTTTGTTAAAAATATGTTTTTATTGATTTTAGAGAGGAAGGGAGAGGGAGAGAGAGAAACATCATTTGCCTCCTACATGCACCCTGCCCTGGGATGGAACCTAAGCATGTGCTCTGACTAGAATTGAACTGGTGACCTTGGGTGTACAGGACTACGCTCAGCCACTGAGCCACGCTAGCCAGGGCTTGCATGTTTCTTTTTGTAGATATTCTTTTGCAAGTTCTACTTCACTCCTCCATCCCAATTTTTATTTTTTAAATAAATACAAAGCAGAGCTACCTCATCTTTCTTCCGTGTGACAAATATTTTTAACACATTTATTTTATTTTTTTTGGTCATTCGTATATTTTCTTATGGTTGATAGTATTACAGATGTCTCCCATTTCCCCCCCTTTACCCCCCTCCTCCCAGCCCCTGGGTGCCCCCACCCCCACATCTTCACTAACATGGATGGACCCGGAAAAATATGCTAAGTGAAATAAGACAATCTGAGAAAGACAAATATCACAGGCTCTCACTTATTTGTGGAATCTAATGAACAAAATGAAGTGACAAACAAAATAAAACTTGAAGCATGGAGGCATGGAACAGACTGACATACCTTGATATGGGGTTGGCAGGACAAGAAGAGATAAACCAAAGAACTTATATACTTACTAGTGACCCAGTGTGCGAAATCACGTGGCCCCGCCCACCCGCCTTGACACCCTAACCCAGCCGTGGGCAAACTATGGCCCGCGGGCCGGATCCAGCCCGTTTGAAATGAATAAAACTAAAAAAAAAAAAAAAAGACTGTACCCTTTTATGTAATGATGTTTACTTTGAATTTATATTAGTTCACACAAACACTCCATCCATGCTTTTGTTCCGGCCCTCCGGTCCAGTTTAAGAACCCATTGTGGCCCTCGAGTCAAAAAGTTTGCCCACCCCTGCCCTAACCTCTCCATCCAGAGCTCGAGCGCACCTGGCCCTGCCCCCGATCCCTCTGACCTTCTCTGGGTGCTTCAAGCCCCACCCTTGGTCCCGCTAGTCGCCTTGGGCTGGTCCCACCTCCTTCGGGCGCCTCCCCGCTTCCGCCCTGTCTCCAGAGCAACGCGGCGGCTCTGCCCAGCTGCGCACACAGCCTCCTGCTGAACGGTCGTTATGGTGTGAGGGTGTCATGACCATTAGCATATTAGCTCTTTATTATGTAGGATATGCATAGTGCATGACAAATATTTTAAGGCTAACCTTTTATCAACTCTTAACCACTGAAGATAAAGTGGAAGGTACTAGGCAAGATTGAGAAATATTAATGTCTATCTTGTTTTTCCGTTTGTAGCTTTTTCCATGCTCCATTTAGAGCCTTCTCCAAATTCAAGGAGACAACACTCTAAAATCATTATACTCTCTTCACTCATTCAAAGTAGCACATGTTATGTGATCTGCGTATGTGCACATGCATGCTTGTGTGTGTAAAAGGATAAGAGAAACAGCTGCTCACTATTTGAGAAACTGATTTAATTAAGAGTTGCAGTTCTGGAGCCGCATCAGGCCCACTCCTCCTGCAGCTGAGCCAATGGGCTCCAGGATGACACCTCCTGCAGGTGCACCAGCTGCACGTTCACGGGAGAACCCCAAGGGGAGGCCATGAACATGAGGAAAGAATGGACAGCGAAGGTTTCCATTTCAAGCAGTCTGGTAGATAGATATTTTGAAAGGTCTTTCTGCTTTAATGCAATCAATCCTGGATAAATTAAAACCAATGCACTTTTCTAACACTATTATGTTCTAAATTATCAAGCCTGCTCTCACCCATATTATAGTAGCCAATAAAAAAAACAAAACCCAAAACTTCTTAAAAGTGAATTGAAGTAACAGAGGAAATGGTGAGCATTGAGCAAAAAATGTTTAAATCAGAGCGTTAGCCTGCATGTGTACGCCGACAGGAGCACTGGGATGGGAGACAGAGCCCTGGGCATGCCATGGGGTGAGGGCTGAGCCCCAGGAAGCCAGCCAGGTCCACTGGAACTCTACATACAGCAGCGGCTCAGGCACATGCTTGCAGGAAGGCACCCCAGTAAGCCACTGGTATTGCCCACAATGAAGAAAACCAATTATGAGCCTACTAGAGGCCCGGTGCAAGGGTTTGTGCACCGGTGGGGTCCCTCAGCCTGGCCTGTGCCCTCTCGCAATACGGGACCCCCCAGGGGATGTTGGACTGCCAATTTTGGCCCAATCCCACAGGCCTGTGGGGATTGGGTTGAATCCGGCTGTCCGACATCTCCTGAGGGATGTAGTAGTGCGCGAAGCGGCAGGCAGCCGGAAGGAGCCTGAGCCTGGGCGGAGTGTTGCGCCGCTCCCACACATCATGGCCCCACTGTGCCTGCTGCTGTTGCAGCTCAGTAGCCTGCTGCCACGGAGGTGGGAGAGGCTCGTGCCTCCGCAGCTGCGCTCACTAGCCATGAGCCGGGCGTCTGGCACCCGTCAGTCAGCTGAGCAGCGCTCCCACTGTGGGAGCACACTGACCACCAGGGGGCAGCTCCTGGGTTGAGCATCTGCCCCCCGGTGGTCACTGCACGTCATAGCAACCAAACAGTTGTTCGGTTGCTTAGGCTTTTATATATATAGACTACAGGCCTGGTGCACAAAATTTGTGTGCAGGGGGGGTGTCCCTCAGCCTGGCCTGCACACTCTCCAATCCAGGACCCCTCTCATAATCCAGGACCACTGGCTCCTAACCACTCACCTGCCTGCCTGTCTAATGCCCCCAACTTCCCTCCCCTGCTGGCCTGGTCGCCCCCAACTGTCCTCCCCTGCCAGCCTGGTCACCCCCAACTGCCCTCCCCTGCTGGCCTGGATGCCCCCAACTGCCTTCCCCTGCTGGTCTGATTGCCCCTAACTGCCTCTGCCTTGGCCCCCACCACCATGGCTTTGTCCAGAAGGAAGTCGGACGTCCGGAAGATGGCCAGTCGACCCAGTCTAATTAGCATGTTACCCTTTTATTAGTATAGATAGATTATATAAGATAGGATTGCTTAAATGGGGCGGGGGGCTTTTTCAGCAGGAGGAGATGCTCTTGGCCAGCCGTGGGCAAACTACAGCCCGCGGGCCGGATCCGGCCCGTTTGAAATGAATAAAACTAAAAAAAAAAAAAAGACCGTACCCTTTTATGTAATGATGTTTACTTTGAATTTATATTAGTTCACACAAACACTCCACCCATGCTTTTGTTCCGGCCCTCCGGTCCAGTTTAAGAACCCATTGTGGCCCTCGAGTCAAAAAGTTTGCCCACCCCTGCTCTTGGCAGACAAAAATACATAATCCTTATATCTGGACTGATAGCCAGCCCTATGCACTATACTGCCAAACTGGTTATTAATTGTATGCGGGAAACGTATTTATACGTTTTACGTTGACTGTAAGAAGTAGAGCCACCTGTTAGCGCGTGATAAAAACTACCTGCAAACAATGTATTAAAAAATTGAACCACTTTCTTACACCTTACACCAAACAGCTGTTGCCCTTAAAACCCCTCCTCAGCCCACCCCCCACCTTAGGTTCTGCCTTTGCAGTTCATCCAGATTTGGTTCTGACTGGTTGGTTTCTATGCCAGTCAGCGTCAAAAGCTCTACCTCCTAGGCAGCCATTGGCTCCTCGCAGTTCACCCAGATTTGGTTCTGATTGGTCGGTTTTTATGCCAGTCAGCAGCAAAGGCTCCACCTCCTAGGCTGCCATTGGCTCCTCTGGGAAATCCAGAATGGCCCGCCTTCATGTCGGCACCAGCCCTTCCGTCATGCCCCCAGTCCACTACTGGGTGTATCTCTGGTCACTCTGAGAAGTGGCACCTCAGGTCTGTGCTGGTGGCAATTTTGAATTCTCATCCCTGACCTAACCTTCTTACAGTGCAAGCTCCATGAAGGCAAGCATTTGTCTTGTTCATTCTTAGTTCACTCATAGACTTTACCTGTGTCTATGAACTATGCTAGCACCACATGGTGACCGGTCAAACAGTCGTCACGGTCGTCATGGTCACTGCCTTTTTATATATATAGATAATTTAGAAAATCAAGCTCGAAGGAAAGAAGCCACCATGAGTGAGTCAACAGAAACAAAAAAAATAAGTTTCCAACCCTGCAAGGACTTTAAGTATTATGATTACCAAACATAAATTTTTAAAATTAGTTTTAGCAATAAAAGAGCAACTAAAACATGGTTAAGCATAGAGAGATTATGAATAAT